ATGATACATTGAATCGTATCTAGTGCTTTATTTCCTCCTGAGTGTCATATTGTCACTATCATAAACAAGGTGATGTTGCTAGGTCGTGCTTTACAGCGTACACCTTAGTTTTAGAAGCTCTCAGGTCAAATGCTGTTCGCGTATTCTCGATTGCGGTTTTGAATGTCATGGGTTAATTGACACGACAAAGACCCGAGCGCAAATTTTTGCCTGATAGTGACTCTTTTAACCGCGGACTACTTCGACCAGGAACTCTTTATCGCATAGCTTAGGGAGGTTGGTGCAATATATCGCAATATATCTGGACCCTAACTTTGACTGTATCGGCAAACCTCTGTGAAAGCTGAAAGTGTCTCTTTGCGATGTTTGAAAGCTTTAGAATATAGGCTTAGTCTCCTGGGCTTTGCAAAACCACACCGTTTGAGTGATTCAGTTTGTGCGGTGACCAAGTAAAGCTGACAGTAAAGCTGGGTCCAGTATCTGCTAAATAATACCTATCTGTAGTCGCTGACAAGGGAACAATCACCAGAAAGTTTAAGCGCTTATGTGTCTATGAGGGGTCCCAAACCACCAAGTTGCCTACTTGCGAAATTGGTACATAGGTTGACAATGTTGAATTTTGGATCCTTGTTTCTGTTTGTACAAATATGAAAAAAAATGATTGCTCCAAAGCCGCTGGTCAGATTTAGAATGCTGCACCATCTAAGATGTCCTTGTAAGACATATCGAAAGCACTTTATAAAAACCCTTGTAGTCTGAAAGGTTATTCCTTCACTATCCGTAGGTTCACTGCTTCCAAAAATCCTTATTGCAGTAAAAATTTGATAAATCGTTATGCTTTTAGGGATTATTACAGTAACAACTGCAGTAGTAATCTCGAGACGGACTCTCTCTCTCTCAAAGGGGAGCCCATTTTTCTTGCACCTTTAGGAGCCCTCATGTACAATACTGATTAAAACGCTTCTTGAAATCTTAATTACCAGTTGATTTTCAGTCACTTCATTGTATGAAATCTGTTGTCGGAGGCTCTTTCCGTTCTTTCGGCGATTTACCAGCTTCATTTTTGAATGGTTATGCTCGTTGTTCTTTCTGTGAGTGTTTCTTTTGTGGCCGGTACGATTTAGCAGTGGAGCACCCAAGTATCATAATTGAATAGCGTAAAGCCCTGTGACGCTCTCGCTATATTTGATTCAGTGTCAGGATGTTCACTTGACACGGTGTATTAGACCATCATTTAAGCTGGGCTCTTTCTAGCTTCCGAATACGCTTGTTCGGGTCACGCCCAGTTGAAGGCGACAAAAAACTGTTCTTTTTTCACAATAATTTAATCCATCTCAAAGATAGTCATCTCGTCACGTAAGCACTGATTAAGCAGGCGCTACTTTGATTTCCTGTCGTCTAATAACTCTTTTTTATACACGCAATCGCCAAGTCTGTCGAAGTTATTGTCGGGACCATCGTTAGCGACGCAGCATGTCCTAAAGTTGTCCTCGCCTGTGTGTTCCTTCCTATTTTGGATATTGCCTTCAAAATAAAGCATTCTCTCTCTCGTATTCCTCACACGATCTTCAGGAAGGACAGGTATATGCCTTCTGAGGCCGTTTTAGAATGCTTGGTTTTCCTTTTTATGGCGATTGGCTTCACTTTAGGTCAGATGCCGTTTCGTGCCTTCCAAGCATCTCGTTTGGTTTGCCGTCAAACAGGTACGCAGCGCTTAAACGATAGTGTCGGATCCCTGTCTTTTAATAATCCGAATCTCAGACTGAGCTAGCTAGGTTTCTGGTAGCGGGACGCATTTTTGTGAGTTGTCTTGGGAATTAGGAGTGCAGGCATGGAGAGGTACAGTCCGTGGCAACATCGAGGCCAGCTCGGTCAGGCATTATCGCAGCCGTTCTAAGTGCAAGCAAATATAAGTAAGTTTTTGTCGGGCAAAGTCAACTTTATCACATCAAGGATCGGGATTATGTGTCTGCTTTTTTAAGGTCCAAAGGTTTCCGCGGGCACTGTGATTTTTTTCAGATAATAGAATTACGCTAAGTCGCGTACGTTACTCCCGGCTCACATCTGTCTCTTCCCGTTGGTTGTGTCCCGTGTATTGTAGCCTGTCATGTTTACTAACATTTATATAATGTGGACAGTCTGTAGACGATTATTCCTCACCTTGGGGAAAGACGGTGCCCTGCGACTATGCATCGTACACCACAAGCCAGGTACTGTAGCAAGCCTGCAGTTAGGCTATAGACAGCAAACGGCACTACGGTACGGCATAAAGTCATGGCAGAAACTTGAGTTATGATTTAAATATCGTTGCTTTAATCCATAACCTTATTACTTATTTACCCCATACTGTATACTGGGTGCTAACTTCCTACAAGCACACACTGGCCGTATTAAAGCATACTATTTACTGGTCTTAGGACAAATGGCCATTAGAATTGGCGCTCTTAGTGTAGACGCACTACTTCTGGTAGCAGTATCCTAGTCTTCGTAGCAGAAAATGTGTAGAAACTGCCGCAGTCTCGTGGATAAAGCCGAGTGGGCGCAAACCAAGGGAAACTCTGTTTTGCTCCGGGCTTCAAACAGAATAGCATAATCCGAGGTTCACAGTTCTTTTTGAGATTGTAATGATATGAGCCCAGCGCTGACTTTAATCAGCGCCCCTTCTGACTAACAATAGCGTCAGCAATAATATCAGTTTAACTATCACTCAGCTTCACTC